GCCTTAACAATCTGCTTAGCTCAGGTATGCGTTTTTTAATGTTCATTGTTAATAAGCTTGCTGCAGACAAGTTTTATTGTTGGGGAATTCCATGCAAATACATGGCAGGCACCTATAATTCTACACCTCGGAAGAGTGTCTACATTTCTATCTCCGTTAATGCGGCCTGAACCACAGCATCTACCCCCACAAAAGTTATATAAAAACGACTGGCTCGGCCCCGTGATGTGTACTATTACTTTTATTGGCATTTCGAGTTACCATGGCGACGTAATTTGCAAACAAAGATGAAATATTGGTGACTGCCCACTTATTATTCTACACCTAAAAAGCGTATCTTTTTCAACTTTAATGCGGCCCGAACCGCAACGTGGACCCCCACAAAAGTTATATAAAAACGGCCTGCCCGGCTCCGGGAAGTGTGCAATTACTTTTATTGGCATTCGCAGTTACCATAGCGACATATTTTGCTAACAAATATGCCATATTTCCCATAGGAAATAAATAGGCGAAAACTCTTCACAGAAACTGAGTAACATATGGAGCCATTTTGGTTCAACATGCAAGGAAGGCAATGCATTATGCAATGCATAGAAGGCACCTATTATTACCTATTATCACTATTAATTAGTAATAATATTATTATTGTTAATAATTATATATTTAATATAAATTATTAATATTAATAAATAATATGTAATATTAATACTAATTATTGATGTGAATATTATTAACATTGATTTTTTATTATATATTTTAATAATAATACATTACATATATATTAATAATAATTAATATTAATATTTAGTATGTATTAATATTAATAACCATTATTAATAATATTTATTAATAATAATAATTTAATAATAAGTAGGCAGTTTCTCCAGGAACTTTCTAGTTTTTTTTTTCTCCCTTGAGTGCAGAGAAAAATCTTTGTCCACTTCAGGTTGGAAACTTCAAGACAGCTGTGACTGGCCCCCAGTCAGTGCTGTCCTCACAATAACAGATGACCCCCCCCCCCCCCCAGACAGCCGAAAGACACCTTTAGGATGCCGTAGCCTTTGTATATTGTCTGAACTCCAGCTACTCCTTTACAATGAACATGCTCATTCTGTAAGTCCTGCATTTATGTTGAGCACAGCTTCATTAACTAGAATAATAAAACTAAAGAAGTTACATTTCCTACGAAAATGCAATGTGAATGCTTATTGCTGAAGAACTTGCTAAAAACAGCTGAAATTAGCTAAAAACATGCTGAAATTTAGCTTAAATGGAAGAACAAGCCAAAGTTAGCAGAAGAAAGCAGAAAGAACACATATTTGTTGAATTAAGTTTAAATAAGCAGAAATTAGCACAAAAGTTAGAAAATTAGATGGCAAAGATGAAATTAGCAACAAACAAATAGCTGAAAAGTAGATGAAAAAGCAGAAAGAAGCTTAGACTAGCAGAAATAAGTTGAAAAGAGCATAATAAGCTGAAATTAGCAGAAATAAATTAATTGGTCTGAAAGTACCACAAAAACTCAAATTTATCTGAAAACATATGAAATTAGCTAGAAAATACTAAAAAGTTATCTGAAAAGGTAGAACAAGCTTAAATTAGCATATAGGGGTAGAGAGAGAACACTTTTGCCCAGTTAGGCTGAAAAAAGCAGAAGTTAGCCCCAAAAAGTGGCAATTATCTGGAAAAAGCTGAAATTAGCAACAAACAAACAAACAAACAAAAAAAGCTGAAAAGTAGCTAAAAAATCAGAAAGAAGCTTAAATTACCTGAAGGAAGTGAAGAGAGCACATTTTTTGCTGGATTAGGCTGAAAAAAGTTGAAATTTTGGCAAAAAATGTGGAATTAGCTGAAAAGTCTAAAATTAGCTTACAAACAGCATTGTTTGAATGCTTAATAAACATTCACATAAATAATTTAATATATTGAGTTATAAATTAATAAAACTTGTTTTACTCCTTTGGTCATATGGTTCAGTGGTTTCTTGAAGAGGAAAGCAGTACTCTGTTTCCCATTTCTTGTTTTCCCCTGAGGAAACCTGTTTTGTTGCTCATTGTTGTGTTTATTGTAGAAGCTCCTTTAAAAAAAAAAAACATAAAAAAAAAAGAAATCTGTTGTGCTTGTGGGAGACTAGTTGTAATTGTTTCCAGGAGACAACGTGGTTCCAGCATTCTTGTACGCTTTTTTTTTTTTTTTCTCCACTTCTTTATCGTGAAACGTTTACTTCACTGTATGTATGGACTGATGTATCAGATTTTGTTCAGGTTCCTGCCACATTTGTGTGACGGAGGCAAGAGGAAGGGAGGAGAGGGGTTAAAAATAGGCTCTTTGGCTGCTTTGCATTGTGTCGAATCAGCATTTACTGTACACACCAACACATTTATGGACAAGTCTGACATGGTACCACTTCGGACTAAGGTCCATTTTGCAGCAAAAACATTAAAGAACCTTTCCATGTGTAAATTTCAGATTCTCAATGTGCCATCAATATATAAACAAGCTTTCCTCAAACATCGGAAACAAGCTAGCAGGACTAGCAAGATGATGTGCGTCTTACAAACAGAATATGCTTTGTGTCCAAACTGGGACAAAAGCACAGTTTTACACTCAGTCAGACCTTGGGAGAAGTATGCTTCAAGTGTGTCTCCACAACCACCAAACCCCAGAAGTGGTGGAAGTTGTGAGGGCTGGTCAAAAAGTTCCCCTTGGCTGCTGGAGCAGAGATAATTAGAGCCAGGTTCAGCTGGGGTTTTGGTATTCACAACTTAAGCCAAGTTTTGGTCTTCACAGCTTCTCTTGCCAGACAGGCTGTGTGCGAGCCGGGTGTCGGACCAGGCGACATATTTTGACTTTTTCTTTTGTGTATGTAAGGAATCCTGACCCACTTCTGTCAGATGACGTTATTATCAGATCTGGTGGATTATGTTTGGAGTAAAGGTGGTGTATCTGGAAGGACTGTATGAATCTGTCTGGGCTTGTTTTGTTTCTTTGGATAATTTAAAGTTTATTCTACTCATAGATTCTGATCTCAGGAGAACATTAGGATATGAAGGCATTAGAAGAATGATGGAAGCTGAGGTTAGAAAAGTTTGTAACAATCCTTTCACTTTTTCCAAACACTTTTTTTTTATTCTAAAGAAGATGTATTAAATGCATTCCTTGAATAATGTCGGGTTTTGGTTGTAGTGTTCAGTAATTTGGTCAGTGCTCAATTCTTTGCCCTGGTTTACAGCTGTGTTTTGAATTAAGCCTGTCACAGGATAAATTCACTTTAGTCTTTACACACACACATACCAGAGCAACACAAACTGCTAAAATATCCAAAAGCAAAACAAAACTGTCCAAACATAATCCGCTGTATGAAGTGGAACAACATATTTATGAAGAATTTGTCCATGCATCCCACAGATACTATAATATTAATAATAAGTAATCATATAGTTACTGTGAGAGTAGCTTTCAGCATTTGTTTTCTCATAAAGCACCTCCTTGTCAACACTTTGTATTGCAAACATATACAGTATCTATCACAGTTCGACTTTCGCGGTCTCGCTCTTTTGCAGTTTTTCAAAGTAAGATTGGACATGACAGTTGGCTGATTGATGGATGAGGCAAAGGATCAGCATGGATTTTTTATTTTAAATAAATTATTTCAAATTATTTGGCACCTGCTGCACCTGTGTGCAACCCACATATGCAGGGAGAAGCTCCACTGATGGGTCTGGAAGTTTGGTTCTGCTCCCGTTCGGTGGGTTCACTGGGGCTTCTCTGCATCTGTTGGGCGCCGATCAGATCAAAACTTTACCTCTGGATTTTTCAGCAGAAGGAAATAGGGCTTCTAGGTGAGACCCTGCTGCCTTCTGGGAAATGTGGTCATTATGTGTGGGAATACAGTGTAGGCTTACTGATAGAAAACTACAAAATGGCATCGCCTGTCCGAAGTAAACGTTTTACAGTACAGCACTGTATCCAGTACTGTCCCAATCACGTGAGTAATATTAAAGTTGACAATCATGAGTTCTGTACGATTTTTTTTATGTACAATATTATGGACTGTACATCCACAAACCGTGATAGCGCAAGTCCACGAAAGTTGAACCGCAAAGTAGCGAGGGATTACTGTATACTGTTTCTTTTTATACTTTATATTTTTGCTATTTTGGGGTGTAACGGGAACCTTGAGTACACAATTTTGTTTCACCTCATATACCACATGTGATGCGAATGACAATAAAGAACCTCGAACCTTAACTTTCATATGTATTGTGTGTCCAGTGTTTACTTGGTAAATCACTGTTAATAACACCGTTCCATCAGTTCTCCAAGGATCATTATTTAATTACTGGTACTACCAGAGTGATGCGAGTTCAGAACAAGAAGCATGGCTTTGTACTAACACTTGACAAGTAAAATAATGCATCCAGAATGCTTATTTGTTGTTTTATGCAGGGTTGTGTGCATGTACGTTAACATAATTACCCAGGAGGATTGTGTTTCTGAGGATTTACATAAAAAGGCAACAAATTTCAATATAAAAAATAATCAAATGTGTGGTTTTATGCATTGGATGGAAAACTGAGTAGAATGGATTGTCTTAAAGTGCGCTCTGGTAAATGGGCCATAAGATGATACATTTGTGCTCACACCGTCTTAGCAACATTCTTTGATCTTCCCTTAAATTGCTTTTGCAAGTTACCATCTTTCTTGTACTGAACACACAACAGATTGTTGACAAGTTTCAATGACTCGCCTCCAGAACAGACAGAATCACTCTGTCACACTGGAGGAAGCACCTTCTTGACCTCCTGGTGGGTTGTTCAGGGTTGTTGATTGTTCTCAGCTCCGATGGACTGGCACATTTTCTGCATGTTGGGCTGTTCTTCATCTGTCAGCTTGATCTGTGTTTGCATTTCCGCAAAATGTGTGACTTTGTAACGTGTCTATTAACAGGTTGCAGGAAAGAAATTCAGTCTGTGGGATGACTTCCTTGTTGAGGGCAGACATGGGAATCAGCAGGAGATGACCTTGGCTGATCTGATCCAGTATATAAAGGTACTGCAAAAAAAAAAAACACACTTTCTTCACACAAAAACCACTTATTTGTATACAAATTATTTTACTTTACTTACTGGCCTTTCTTTTTTCATTAAACACAAATGTTTCATTGTTTGTAGTGATTGTTATTTTTTACGTTGTCTTATATGACAGCAAGATTTGCTCTCCTGTTATATTGTAAATATGAAGCAAAGTTATGTAGCGTTTTACTAACTTTGATGTAGACTATTTGAAACAGCAGCTTAAACTGTTACCAACTGCTTTGAGAAATTGTCCAAACAGATTTTCTTCCTCTAAATTGAATTTTATCTAAATTTATTTAAACAGTGGAATCATCTTACCCAATTTGTAAGAAGCATGTCGCATCAACCAGTCATGTAATGGAAAAGGATGTGTGCACCATCATACTGCAGGTTTTAAAACTCGTGACCCTAAACTGACCTAAAGTCCAGTGTGGTAGTAGCTGAGGCTTACCCCCAACAAGTATTCTGAGCACTAATAAGTTGTGCAAGATCTTTGTTTAAAATGTTGCATTATTTGATGTCAGCTTTGTCTTAGCAAGTTATCTTATGAACTACTGGATAGATTTTAATGAAACGTTCAGGAAATAACTGAATAACAATGGCTCCTATTAAGTCTGTTTTACAAATATTGATCTATAAGTTGATGTGCTTGTAGCTGAGAATCATTCACCACACATACTTTGGCCATGACATCTCTTGATATTGCCTGAGATTGTGCATAACAATAATTAAATAAAGAGGATTTTAGTCTACAACTGTGAATGAATGTTAGACTTTTATTTTGTAACTGGAATAAATGGAAACACTGTTACTGCTTAAGAAAAAACTGTAAATTTCTTTTCTTTTTTTTTTTTTTTACCTTGAGTGCATGCATTAAAATGTTTTCAAGTTTTCTACATATTTTAGCTTTCAAACGTAATTTGTAAGTTACTAAAAACAAATGTATGTGTGTGTGTTGGATGTGTTGGAGCATCATTTCACAAGTGTTGCACATTTCCTTCTGGAGATTTCCACCATTGTTTTTGTTAGAACTGTCAAGTTTTAACCAGGCTGGGTGAGCAGTGTTGGTTTAAACATTTTTCAGGCCTCTTGACTGATGCTTGACTTTACAGACGTTTCCTAAAGCTACTCCTGTGTTTTCTTAGTGCTGTGATGTTGTACTCGAATGCAACACATTAACCTGAGCTCTCAGTGTCGTGTCCCGCCTGGTCTCACAGCACGTCACAGAAAAACACTGTAATGTTAACGGTGCTGCTACCAACATGAAATAATACTGATGATGATGATGATGATGCTCACTGTTTGGTTTCCTCCACAAAACCCATTGGGGATTGTGATCATCTTTTCTCTTTGTGTTCTCTGCTTTGGGAAACATCTGAGTGGCTATTTGCACATTCTATTCTAGTCATTTACAGGCTAATAAATAGTTAATTTATGAGGCAGTTACTGTGTATGGAGGACGAAATGTGACAAAATGAAATAAATAAACACACAATAATGAAATGTATCATTTAATTATTAAAAACAATTAAATTATTAAATACACTATTAAATTATTTATTTCATGACATAATTTATTTCATGATTTATTCAATTATTTAATTTAGTCACATTTCACCCTCTGTGTCACCATGAAATTATGTTAACTGTCAGTCTCACTCGGCAAACTCAGTGGGCGGGACTAATGCTGAGCATGTGAAATCCATTGCTTTGGTCTGATGGCAGTTCAAACATGGCAGCTCCCTCCATGCTAAGGTGATCAGATTTCTGAAGTTAAATCTGGGGTTTCCAGCTCAGAGACAAAAACAATTAAATGTTATCAAGATGAATTTAAGAAACGGGGACAGTTCCGGTTACATTTATTTTTTTACATATTTATTCATGTTTAAACAATAAAAATCAATTGTAGCAGCAGGAATGTATCTCTCCACACTGTTGTTAACATTTCCTAAGAGTAATAAAATGAATGGGTGAATAAATGAATAAGTGGCTGATTTGTCGTTGCTTGCTGTGAGGAGCAGTCAATCAGGCGTCAAGGTTAGGGTTAGTCCCGCCCACTGAGTTTGACGAGTGAGGCTGACAGTTAACATAATTTCACGGTGACGCTGGAGGGCGGAGCGGAAGGTGACAAAATTAAATAAATAAATAAATCATGACATGATTAATTTAAAATATACATTTCATTATTTTATGGTGTATTTAATAATTTAATTGTACATTTAATTATTTAATTATGTATTTAATAATTAAATGATGTATTTAATTGTTATACATAAGTATGTGTTGTGCATTTCATTTGGTCACATTCCGTCCTCCATAACTGTGCAGCATGTTTGATTGTTTATATTTTTTGTAGGAAACGCATGGATTGAATGTCTGCAGTCTATTCTACGGACCTGCTATCCTCTACAATGGACACGAAGACAGGCTGAAGATGAGGTATGACCCACAAACATGATGCGCATGGCTTGCCTCACACAGACACAAACCAAATCACAGAAAGCAGCGCTCCTTTGTTTGTTTAGAGACTAATGGCAGGATGAGGTGTTTCCTCTGGGCCTGTTGACACACACTCATGCATCACTGAACACAGATGACCGAGTCACCTCCTCGGGTTTCTATTTGTCGAGGACGAGCGTTCAGGAGTTAAACTGGGATGAACTTCAACATCCCAGAAGCTGCACTGTTCAGGCCTGCTCAGTTCTGCTGCACACGTTTGATGACGCCTCGGGGCAAATGAATCAGCTGCCTCGTGGTGAGAAGACTCACTTAAAGAAGTTAATCACAACAGAATTGTGGCCCTGCAGGAGATGTTAAAATTCTTTCACAATAGGATAAATGTGTATACAAACAGTGCGTTTGCATGCAATACTTCAGTGGTAGGAAAATTCAAAGCTTTGGATATAACACCATCTGTGCATTGGGTTAATTATTTTGACACACAAATCTCTGGAGAGGTGGTGTTTTGGTTAGATTAGGCTGCAGGGAGCAGCGGGCGGGGGGCAGGATCCACATGATAAATGCTCCACTTCCTGTGCAGTCGCCCTGCTCCATGCTTCCTGTGTTGAGCCACTGAATGAGGAATAAAAATGCAACAACTAAAAACTGATGGAAAAACACCATTTGAAAAGGAAAATTATCGGTATTAGTTTGAAGAATTCACTTTTACCCCATTGGATTTAAGATTTATAATATTGTAAGATGCAAATCCTACAAAACATAACATGCTGCTACAAAATAAGCTTTTCATGGTAAAAAGATTTTTATATCATCTCATTAAAAAGATTCTTATTAGTTCATAATGTGCTGTGGTTAAAAAATTTAAAATATTTTCTTGCACAAAACTTACTGTATGAAAAAAATGTTTGTGTCTTGTAACAAGGTTGAGTCAAGTGGGTCCCCTGGACGGATTCTTCTTGTTGAAACATTTCGTTTTGTTTATCCAAATTACTTCTTCAGCCTGAGGAGCTGCAACAAACTCTGTCTTATAAGCAGAACCTTGTCATAGTGGATAAACCAGTTTACTGATCACAGCCAAAACTAGTTATTCACATGCAAAAAGGAGGACCAGCAGCCTAACAATTCATCGTTAGTGCCCTGATGGCCGCTTGCTATTCACAGAGGACTGAGTGATACTAGCAATAACAGCATTGTAAGAGTGGGACAGTTGAATAAGATAAGATAGAACTTTATTGATCCCGCAGGAAATTGTTGTGCCAGAGTTTCAGTACAAAGGAAGATACACAAGGAATCACACAAGATATACAAGAACACGGAGGCTTCCACCCCTGTTTAATGATGGACGAGTTATTTTCACAAAGATGGCCTCCTTTACTCCTCTCTCAAACCATCGTTCCTCTCTGTCCAGGATGTGAACATCTTCATCCCTGAAAGAGTGACCGCTGGCCTGGAGATGAGTGTAGACCGCAGAGTCCTGGCCTGATGATGTTGATCTTCTGTGCTGGGCCATCCTTTTGGCCAGTGGCTGTTTAGTTTCCCTCGATGTAAGACTGATCACCCTCCTGACACTGAACAGCATACACAATATTACTCTGTGCCGGGGGGACTGGATCTTTGGGATGAACCAGTCTTTGCCGTAATGTATTTTGGGGTTTAAAAACCACTGGAATGTTATGTTTAGAAAATAAACGTCTCAGTTTCTCTGATACTCCCTCAACATAAAGAATGACTGGGTCTGGGTTTCTCCTTTTCACTTGATGGCTGACTGGAGTCCTGTTTGAGTTTCTCGTCTGCTTTCAGGAAAGCAGTGTAAAGGAAGCCATCTTTGTGACGAGAACCCGTCCATCATTAAATGGGCAGAGGTCTCCATCTCCAGTTGACCCCCTCTTTTATAATTCCGTCAGTACATCACTCAACTCTCTGCAGATAGCAAGCAGCCATCAGGGCACTAACAGCCGTTAGATTGAGTGTCCTCTTTTATCATGTGAACAACTAGTTTTTGCTGTCTCCAGTAAACTGGTTGATCCACTATGACAATGTTCTGCTTATAAGACTGTTTGTTGCAGCTGCTCAGACTGAAGAGGTCTTTTGGAACATTTCAACAAAGAAGAATCCGTCCAGAGGACCTGACTCAACCTTGTTAGATTCATCTTCCTGGATTATTGAGCATGCATCAGAATGTTTGTATCTTTTGTTGCTTTGGATGAAAATAAAGTGATTGTTTATTTTTTTGCAGTGTGTCTGATGTGGTGAAAAAGGTAACAAAGGCAGAGATCCCTTCTCATAAAAAGGTCCTGGAGTTGATTCCTTCATTTGATGAAGATGAAGACTGTGAGACGGTACCGACCATCAGGTACCGGCTCAATTGATGCAGGCGACCCAAAGTTTCTACAAACTCCTCACTCCTGAGAGCTCTTGTAATAGATGAATGACTTGATTTTAAAGCTCCTGTTTTTGAAATGTGAATGATTTTTCTTTATGACTTAGAGTATCTTTTCTCGTCGGTTTTTATTATTGAGCACTTCTTACGCTATGTCTGAAAAGATCTTTCCTTAGCCAAGTCACACAAATTCTACCATTCTGACAAAAATGATGGGACTTGTGCTTCTGTCGTTTGCCACTTTATTCTGATTTAAGAAGCAATTTCCAAAAACTGTCATTCCTGAAGTGATTTTTACCATAAATTTTAGCACAAACTCCAGTTGGCTGCTTTTAAATTACAAATAGTTTATTTTCAGAAGTCTTAAAGGTGTGATGATGCTTCCAGGCCATTAATTGACCTGATGCTTCGTGGCAAAGCTGATTTAATTCAGGTTAGACGAGTCTGATACTGAGGGGGTGCAGGAGGGGGTAAGCTGTCATAATTTAAGACCGTCTTCTGTCAGATGGTTTGTTACCTGCCCTCACATTCAACTTCACAATATGTTCCACTTCACACTCCTAAATAAACACACTGAACAGACTCTCCTCATGCGGCTACGTTTCAATTATGCTCTGTTGATTGTCTAATTCTTATCTTTAGGGTTTAATAGTGATTGTAAAACAAGAATGAAGGTTTGTGATTAAACTGTTTAAACAATGCTGTTCGTTTTATCTGGTTACTTCACTTATAAATGCCATTACATTCCAGTTTGTATCAACTGTACAAAAAGGCGAAAGTGGAAGACGTGTTTTCCCCTAGTCTGTGTGTTTGTGTTGCTGTCCGTCACCAAAATATTTCTCAAACCACTCGGTGGATTTTATTGAAACGTTTAGGGACTGATCATTGGGTTTAGATTTACATCTAAACGTTTGGAGTCGTTCCAATTCAAGATGGGCAGCTACTTGAAATTAGCCAACACACAAAAGGCTTTAACTGACCAATTTCAACTGAGCTACAATGTTGGTGTGGTAGTAGCTGAGAGTCATTGACAACGCGTACTCTGAGTGGCAACTCAAAATATTACATTAAATTGCGCAGAATGTTATTTTCAAGTTTTGACCAAATCAACCACAGTGCGAAATGTTTCATCATAAGTTGATTTTAGTTTAACCCTCCTGCTGCCCTTGGCTCAGAACTGAGGTCATGCTAATCCAAGGGCAGCAGGAAGTTTAAACTCAGGCATGAAAGTTTGTTTGTAAAATGCATTTCTTCAAAGAATGGGCTTTAGTTTTCAATATTTTTCTTAATTCTGTGCAGATAGGACACCCAGCCTGCCGTCTAGAATATGAGAACAGTCTATTAAATAAACCTCTAATTCCATTATTCTGTATTAAATTATTTAGCTCAGACAGAGATGACTATTAAATCATGACCCTGTTTATATATTTCAATAACATTAGCCCATTTTTATTAAATAAAAACTTTTATTTCTTAAAAAAACAACACTTCCTGAACAATACCCTGGGTAAAGTTTGTGTAGTCCAATGAGTCTGGGGTGTTGTCATGTTTAAATGTATCCGATGATGTCATTGCATATGATGGGATGCCGGCTGCCTGTCTTCATGAGGGCCGTGAACTTGTGGAAATCAGTGTCCGGCTCGTGCAGCCCTGTGTGAGACTGATGAAAGAAAGGTTTCAGAGCCTCCAGTCTCACTGGACAGGACCTTCGCTGGGGGGCATCCGCAGCTCTGCTCGGTCTTGTGGAGTCTGCCGGCCTTGGCCTCAGCTCCACACCTTTAGACATCCCCGCCAGCTTCCGCCTCATGTTTCCTAAAATGTCCTTTGCAAGACGTCGGCCTCCGCTGGACTTGAGCTCTGCTGGCTCGGGATAGTCTGGCAGGTCCATCCAGTTCTGTATTAGGTCTGCAAAACTGTTGTCCCCCAGAACCAGGGGTTGTCTGTTTCTGCTGCGGCTCAGCAGAGACGTTGCCCAGTCCTCTGCATCACCGGCCTCAAAGGAAGTCCAGCGCTCCAGGCAGGCGTCAGAGGTTGATTTGGGTCGGATGCGATGCATGCGGACGCAAGCCGAGGAAGAGACTCGCACGTTTCTGGTCCTCCTCAGCACCACGCCTTCATCCTGCCAGGAAGCCTCAGAGAAGCCAGAGTCAAAGTCCACGCTCTTCTCACTGCTGGGGGAGCCTCTGGTCAGTCGTTCGTGCTCCTGCTGCTCTTCCTCTTCCAGCGGGTTGGCCAGACAGCAGGCAGAGTCATAGGTGCTGGCTTCACTGGCATCAGAAACCCGGAGACGGGCGAGCCGCTCCTGCTGTGCCCTCTGTTTGCAGCGTCTTGTGACGGTGAAAGACTGGGTGCAGGGTTCACTCAGTGGCCTCGGCCTGTTTATTTGCTTCAGGTCCTGCAAGGACCTCATCATGGACTGCATCTGGTCCCGGAGGCACTCAGTGGAGTTTCCTAAACACAGCTGCACAAGAAGAAATGGACGATTAAATGTGTAAAATTGCAATAAAGTCAGCTCAATCACATACTGAAGCAAACTAGAGAGCTTAAACATCTCATCGAGTCTCAGCTGGTGTAGCTGAAATACGTCCAAAAGGATCTTCCAGAACCGAACCAGTAAGATTTTTACCAGCTGAGGTCACTCGGGTTTGCAGTCATATAACAAATCTTGACAAACCTTCAGAGCAGCTTTATGAAGACTCAGAAAATATAACATTCAGAGCACGGTGGAAAAACCCTTCCTGCATTCTAAAACACTTCGAGGGGAAGTTTGAGAAAAAATGGAGCTGAGTTAGAACTGAAGCTTTGCAGGCTCACGTATCCTCTCTGGACTCTTTTAGCCCCACAGGATGTTGACTGGTGTGTATAATGAAGCAGGAAATGATGGAAGCCTCATGGAATTACACACAAATCTTGTACTTATCACGAATAAGTTTCCAGTTTTCTCAGTCATAAATGACACTTCTATTCCTCTATTGTTTAAAAACCTCTATTGTGTCAACAGGTAGATGTGTCAGAAATGTTCTCAGAGTCACAGACTAGTTTGTTTTGTGAGCTTTTAGTCAAATCCTCGTGTCCTGCTTTGGTTTAGAGTAGCGGGAATATTAGTGACGTTATCACAGCTGTGGGTGCTGAACCACTCGGTCCTTGAAAAAGACTTATCAGACTTGAGACACCCACAGGGACAGTCTGTGGTCAAAGTGCCTTCACACAAAGAGCAGAGGTGGTTCATGCAGATGGCAAAATATTGGTTTGCTGAAACTTTGGGGAAATAAAATGCTCCAGTGTTTTAGAAATCGTACAGAAAACCTATTTCTAGTTCTTTTCATGGTGTTCGAGGTCAACATCAGGAAAATGCAACACACTAGAACTATTAATAAGACATGGAAGAAAATAAGAAATCAAACTTACCATTTGTAGTATTTATTTAGTAGTTCACAACTTCTGTTTTTCCTTTTGTTCTGGAATAAAATTAAAGATTATGGCTATTTTGAAGTAAACATTTGTGCACCTTCCTAAAAAAAACAGTTCAAACTTAATAAAACTTACATTTACTTGAAGTTCAAGAACAATTCAAGGGTAAAGTCCAGAAGCTGATCGGAGGTGATGTGTCTGTATCTGCTCTCCTCTGGATCCAGTCATGGTCTGGCTGCAGGATTTGACAGGGCTGAGTTTTCTGCTGTAGCCAATCAGCAATTAGCATCAACGACAGCAGCCAATGAGAGGCCGCCTGAAACACGATCCCTTCCACAAGTTATTTTAAACTGCTGGGACTCCACATCTGGATCTGCTCATTATGTTTCCATCCAACACCAAATATGTCATTGTTTTATCACATCATTAGGTTTATTTCCTTTTTTATATATAATTGTGAATTAAAATTAAAAGTTGGTGTTGTCTGGATTAACTAAGTGCTCTGCTTTAATTTCTCAACACCAACAAAAGATAAAATATACTGTACTGTCACAACTGTCATACACTTTTACTACAAATTACTGCAAAATGTCACTTTTAATCTATAATTTATCAGCTTGACTCAGACTGCACCACTTCCATATAAAGGGCCATTGTTTTAGCTGCATCTTTACTTTGGCTGTTGTGTTTTTGCAAAGGTTGATTAAAATCCTTTGCACAGATTTGGTGATATCTAAATGCCGCCACCTTCTGGTTCTTGTTGGCCCTCGCTTGTTTCACAGCCTTCATTGAGAATGAATGCAAACATAATTCACTGTTTTCATGTTTATGAGATGCAAATTTCTTAACTCAGTAAAAGCTGTTGTTTGCAAAAGACCAACCATTTATTATTTAGCAGTTCACAAAATTTTTAGCTTTTAACCTACAAAACAAAAGCTGCAGATACTTGTGACAAATATCCCTTACCAGCCATTTAACAAAGAATTATCCAGTTTTTATATTCCACTTATGGCTGTTGTCTTTTTATGTAACAACTGAGTTAAATACGCTCTTTGAAATAATTTTTATTTGATTTCTGTAAATCATGTCAAGACCCACACTTGATGTTTTACGACTCACTGTGGGGTCTGGACCACAAATTAGGGAACTACTGTCCTAAATTCACCTTTTTAAGCACTAACTAGTTTTATGATATAATCTGAACAATATTTTTAAGTAATGGAGCATATTGTACTTAATTTACTTCTGCTTAATTACATTTATTCATTATCAGAAAACAGAAGCAGACGGGTTGTAATTATGCTAAACAAGTTTCCAAATGTAATAAGGAAACAACACGGTCTATGAATAAAATTAACATTTGTCGGTGACGTGACCAGGAGTCATGAACATTTAGAAAATATGAAATTAGAAAATGGCAATGTGGAAAGAAAATCAACATCGACAGGAAAATATTGAAAAATGCCTCCAAGATATCAATTATATTTTTCATTTGGGCTGTGAACTGTGCAATACATAAAAACATTTACATTATACATTTGAGCAGAAGCTCAAGAGTCTAAAAGTTTTTTGCAGTAAATTATCTCAAGGCCTAAAGTAACAAGAGAAAACACTTTTCTCTGCTCTTCAGCAATTTATTTACCTGTCGGCTTATTGCATTTTATATGATTTCATTAATGTTGAAATGGTTTTTATTTTATTTGTCACATTCTATGCCCTGAGTTCCTACACGTCTTTGTTTTCATTCTATAATCTGGTTTAAAGCTGTTTCTTATGCATTTATAGTCCAGACATGCAGAAACAGAATAATATATTGGAAAACACAGAAACTGGAATTTCATGTGGTCAAACTTTATTTACATCAAACAAGTGAGTGGCTTTATTATTAATATTAATGAACAATTGTCATCCGTTTGTCTCTGTGCTGTGATGCACCTTAAATCATGGGTTTTGTGAACTTAGGTGGAGTAGAAATAGCCCTAATTTCACAACATGGGGTTAGCACGTCTCTAAAGAACAAGTGTAAACAGATACCAAGGCACAAACATATGTAAAAAGACAAACTGAACAGACGTGAAGTCTCGCAAATGACACTTTAAATTAAAAGTGACATACGTATGTCCATTTTTTTCCTTCAACAAGATGCTTTAGGAAGGTTCTTCACTTGGTGGGGCTACAGGCTAATCTAAGACAGTCATGCAGAACGATGCACTGTACAAGCGTGAAGTTTGTGTAAACAGTGTACAAAAACAGTTTCCCTCCATCCAACCTCGTTCTCCGTGCTTGTAAGGTTTCCTCTAAAAAATAAGCTCTGTGCATTTTGAGACGTTCAATAAGCCGAGCATTAACTGAAGTCGATGAGATTTTTTATAAAAAGTTGTTTTTGATTTTGTCAACAACGTCCTCTTCTTAAACTTACAAAAGCAAAAAAAGAAAAAGATAAATAAACTCAGAGACTTAAAAACAAAACGGGCTGTGCAAATGAAATAAATGCCTTTAAAATGAATTTGAATTTAGCTGGACTTTATTGATCATGTGCCAAAATAAGAGATTCCTCATTCAACTGTATCCCAGTCAAACTTGGTTAATTTGCTTTATTTAGTCAGAGCTGAATAAAGTGTCTCGACTGATTGTTGATGGCTTTTATAAATTCAGAGGGACATTTGCTAAAAACACGATGAACAACAGAAGTTGATGCTTGTGAGTTATTGATTGTAGAAGCGCCGACAGTCGCTCCCATCTCCACAAGTAAATCTATCTTGGTTTTCATTATGAAAAGCAGTATTCATCACATGGCTATTGCAGTCTCTCATGCAGTCTGTGTGTGCTGGGTGGCATTGTCCTGCAGAAAAAAGAAATAAAAACTTATTTTAGTTTAGTTTACTGTTATAGGTCCAGCCACAAGGTACAGATGAAGTCATATTATCCTTTAAAAAATTCTAAAGACATACATTTATCAGCATCTAATAACGGTTTTTACTTAAACACAGTTATTTCATTACATTCCTTATTTGATGAGGTTTTACGAAACAAGGCATTCTGGGTAAGTCCAGAGTTTGAAGTAAAATACGTCTCCGTGTAAATATCTACAAAACATATCCCATCTAGGTCAACCACAACTTAAACGGGGTATATGAATTATTTTTATGCATTTGCATTTACCTGTACATATGAATATGAAAAAACTGTGAGTCCAGGTTTTTCAAAATATGCATTTGGAAATAGTTTGCAAAAAAACACCTAAACATGTGACCTGGCAAGCTGCACAGAAACACAATCAGAACCAAAATCACAAGTTTGTTTGAAAAAAAGCATTCAGTACAAAGGTGAAATTTATTTATCTATTTATTTTCACATTGTCATTTTGACTTAGCTAAATTAATCAAAGGGCTACTTTTTGAAATTTAATTATGTATGCCACCATATAATTTTGTTACATGACATCATACTGTTAAAAAATAAAACCAGAGACGAACTTGCTCTGTTTTGCTTGTTTGATAGCATACAGCTGATCTTTTCTGACAAAGCAGAACACTTAGCTTATAAAACATGCTGCCTGTCAAACAGACACTTTTAACAAATGATTCAGTCAATCAACAAAACTCAAACACTTAGTTCTTTTTTTCTTCCTATATGAAATATTTATCATTAGATTAGTTCTTCCAGCACATTACTTATTTTTATTTTTTTTGGTGTAGCTGTTGACAAAGTTTTTTTTATCCGTTCATTAAACATTCTTAAACATTTTTCCTTTTTCCTCTGGGCATTCTAGTCATTAGGCAATCAAACTGCAATGATGAAACAACAGCAGTTTGATTACTAATTTTGTTCAGGTTTATCAGCATCTTCTTGAACGCTCTTTGATTCCTGTGTCCTACCTTTAGAAAAGACCACAGTCCTTCAGGTTGTTCTTAATAATAACATCAGTGACAGCGTCGAAGACAAACTGCACGTTCTTGGTGTCTGTGGCACAGGTGAAGTGGGTGTAGATCTCCTTGGTGTCCTTTTTCTTGTTCAGGTCCTCAAACTGGGTCTGGATATAGCTGGCTGCCTCATCGAACTTGTTGGCTCCTGGAAATCAACAGTTAGGGGTAAAAAAATAGATGGTTATGAAATGAGGGTGAATCTTTCTGTGGTCACAGGTGCAGTATTATCCCTGACATTGTACCTGTGTATTCAGGGAAGCAGATGGTGAGGGGGCTGCGAGTTATCTTCTCCTCAAAGAGATCCTTCTTGTTAAGGAAGAGGATGATGGAGGTTTCAGTGAACCATTTGTTGTTGCAGATGGAGTCAAAGAGCTTCATGCTCTCGTGCATTCGGTTCTGAAGAGAAACAAAACAGTTGATGGCCAAGACACACGACCTGAGCCCAACAACACATCACAGCTGCCACCGGGGGCAGTGTTGGTCCACATTCGATTTTGAACCAAAGGGATAACCAGAGAAGAGGAGCAACAGCATCTGTCAGCTGAGCCTCTTCATAATACTTACAAAACTGATCAACATTTTGGAATAATCAATTTGTACTCACTTGAGGAAAAACAATAAAGTACTTAGTTTCATAAATGCTCCTCAAATTCAAGCTCATTTTAAAACATACTTATTTCTTCTACCTGCTTCTCCTCAGTCGCAAGGAGCTGGTGCCCATCTCCAACAGTCACCATGCAAGAGGTGGGGGTACACCCTGGACAGGTCATTCCATCACAGGGACACATGGAGACAAACTACTGACACTCTCGCTCACACCTAGAGACAATTTAGAGTTACCAATCAGCCTAACATGCATGTTTTTGGTCTGTGGGAGGAAACCGGAGCACCCGGAGAAAACCCACAGGAGAACATGCAAACTCCACCCAAAAAGACAACCAAGCCTGATCCTGTGATCCTATGACCTTGCTAAAAGGCAATGGCTCTAACCACTGAGCCAGGACCATGGGGACTATCTGGCAGTGTCCACGGACAAACTCGCCTCCTTCGTCGGCCTTCCTCATGCATATATGTATCATGATGTCATCAGTATGTTACTGTTTCTGTGCTGTGGTTTTTCTTTGCAACTTTCAAACTGTGTCCCGTATAGGACACAGTGTGAGATATGACTTTTTTTTATACCTCCCCTTCCCCCCGTGTTTCTCTTTTCCTCTTTTCTAAACAAAAAAGGCTGCGCCTCCCACATGGCCGCAGCCTCAGACACCTCTGTCACCCCATGTCTGTTTTTTACTCGGACGGGCTGTACTGAAATGTAATTTCATTGTGCTTTGGTGCAATGACAATAAAGCTGATTCTGATTCTAAACAAATAAAAAAGTAATGAAATTCACTTTAGGACCCCCCCCCCCCCACACACACACACACACACACACACACACACACAGGTTTGTTTTGCTATCTTTGTGGGGCCTTTGAATTGACTTCCATTCATTTTTCATTCATTTCTATAGCCTAACCATGACCTTTATCCATAACCTAACCATTACCAGTACATACCTAACCCTAAACCTAACACATCCTCAATTCACACCTTAGTCCTAAACCTAGCCCCTAACCCACCAACGGGACTTCTTCTTATGGGGCCCGGGCTTTGGGCCCCATAAGGAGCAGTTGGTCCTCACAATGCAGTATAAGTTGGAAAAATGGGCCTCACAAAGTAGCAGAAACAAGGACACACACACACGCACACACACACACCAGACAGTGAAGTAGTGAAGTTGATCCCTACCATCTCTTCATCCTCGGCCAGCACCAGGTCATAAGCACTCAGTGCAACACAGAAGATAATGGCTGTTACTCCTTCGAAACAGTGAATCCACTTCTTTCTCTCCGAGCGCTGGCCTCCCACATCAAACATTCTGCAAGACAAACAAAAATACCAATTTAAGAAAAAAAAAACATTTTCTTCCCTCTGTGATGAGAGATGAAATAATAATAATAAAAAAAAACTAAAATAAGGATAATTTAAAATATAGAGAACTGATAACAATTTTACAAGAGAACCAACAGTGAGGGAGGGAACGAGCTTGACATATAATCTTTAAAGTAACATTATATATTTATGAGGTTTCTATTATAACAAAAGTGGTGCAGGAAGTGGAAAGATGTCTGTCAGATAACAGACAAAATGACTGGAGGGTCAGTGATGGTTAAAACAGTCAGACTTGACCAAGGAAAATGAAAATCTGGATACAAGTGAAGGTGATAACAGTTTTCTGAGGAGGAAAAAAATGCAGCAAATATTCATTTTGAACAATCATCTTTCATCTAACATAACTACCTGGATAAATTTAAATGAAACCACAGACATTATCTGTATCTTTAAGTGTTTCCTTTCGTTTAATAATTGTGGCAAACAGAAGATGTGAAAAAAAAAATCATTTTCACTTTATTTTTTTTATTATTATTGATCTCTTTCGTGCATTATTCAGGTCAAACACTGAGGCAGAGACACAGGGTAAATATCAGAGAGTTTATCAGGAAACAGGTCACACCAGAACCGTGAGGATACTGCTGCCTTTTTTTAATGAGTCACTTCTGTTTAGGCGCTTTTAAAAACGAGGTTTTTTTTTAGACTATTAAAGAAGTAAAAAAGAACAATTAAAAACCTGAAATCTGCAAATCCAAAAAGACGGTACATCTTTTCTCAAGATACCCAATTCTTTACTTCAGAACTTCAGTTTTATGTAACATACATTATACTTTTTATATATTAGTCCATATTTTCTAATCTTTGAAGCATCTCTTGATTATCATAACTATACATTCACTTCAAACCCACACATCAGATCTTAGACTGTGCCAGAGTATATTTTATGTAAGAGCCGCAGCAGTGTGTCATGTGCTAAAATGTTATCACTCAATACAGCTCTTGCTTTATTGAACAGGAACCTCGTGGGCAGATCAGATTCATTTACTCAGCTCAAAGTGCCATAATGATGATTAAGCTTTTAATTGCTGTGATTATTTGGCTTCTAAGTAGGAGAGCTGCACATTTTAACCAAGCAGAGGCAGACACTGCATTTATTATGGGTTCATTAAATTTGCTGGGGAAAGTTGTAAACGGCATCGTACACACAGATGCAACGAGAAGGTCGGGATGACTTTGTCTGGAAAGTCTTATGATGTTGATGAATGTGCTTTCATTGAGTCAGAGTCACTAAAAAACACAAGTGATGTCATATTTTATACACTATATAAGATTGTTTTTCTAAATAAATAACACAAGAGTAAGATTTTAATAAGCTAGTCATGTTTTTACTCACACATGTAGACTACATGGTGGTTGATTTTCTGTACTGCAGCATAAAAGGTGAGTAAACACTGGGGGATCGTGTTGACATTCACTTTATGTCAAATACACCCTCTGATTATGAATCAGTTGCTTTGTGGAAACGTTCTTAACTCTTTCATCCCTGTAAAGGACCAAAGAATTTGTCTGAATAAAGGGTCTACTGTCCATTATACAGACAAGTGGCTTTCTTTTACAACATACAAGATTTTTAACATGCACTTCCATCCAAAGTACATTGTTTTAATGGAAGGTATTGCATTCTTCAGCTAGAAAATGCTGAAAAACACATTTCTGAGGATGCTCAAGGTTGATTTTAAATTGACCACATACAGTACTGATGTCATTACAACTGCATGGCTTTGCAGTAGAAGAGTCTGGGTGCTGAACTGGCCTGCCTGCAGTCCAGACCTCTCAGCAACGCAAAACATTTGGCGCACCATTAAACAAACGAACAAAAATCAAGTACAGAAGATCCAGGGCTGCGGAACAGCTAGAACTCTAAATCAGACAAGAATGGGACATTTGCCTCCAACAATGCAGCAACTGGTCTCCACGTTTCCTAAAATGTTTACAGACAGTTGTCAAACAAAGAGGGGATGCTTCACAGTGGTACACATGGACCTGTCCCAACTGTTCTGTGTTGCGTTACTGCCATCAAATTAAAAAATACCATATTATTTTTCCTAATACTTGTTAGCATTTCTTAGTTTAAAACTGGATTTGTGCACTATGTTCATTGTGAGGTCGGCTGTGGTAGTTTGGTGGGCTCAACGTTTTTATGAATCTGAGACTGCAGGTTCGGGCCCAGGTTGCATCAGGAAAGGTATAAGGTATAAAACAATTGCCAAGTCGTTTGCCGTTCACTCCAGTGACCCCTGAAGAAGGGACCAGCCAAAAGAAGAACAACAGCTATGTTCAATGTGAATAAAATATGTGTTTATGAGATTTTTCATTCAACCTTTATTTATACAGGTTAGTCTCCTTGAGCCACGAGGACTCATTTACAAGAGACCTGTTTGTAACAAAGAACACAGATGAGGCACAGACATAAATTGACAATCATGTAAAAAACATATAAAATGAAAAGTAAATAGAAGAAATTATATAACTGTAGATGAACAGATGCTGGGATATATTCATCATTTAACGCGGGTTCCTCATTTTTCTGGACTGAATAAAACGTGCATTGAATTTAAGGAAATGCAAAGTGAGACGTCATTTATATTTGACCCATCAAAATGAATGCGGTCATTTATTTACAGAATCAAATTTAACATCAAACATTTACATCAATTTGGCAAATTATGAAAATAACAATATAAGCAATCAATCAGGAAAAATCATACGGCCATGATTTTTCCGTTGCTGCACCACAGACATTTATAAACTGTACAACTATGATCTTTTACCCACACGGATGTGAATAAGCACTTTACACAGACATTTCTAAATATCTGGGAGAATTTCTACTTGATAGAAAGTTAAAGATGAAAGAAATTAAAGGGAGTAAGATTGAATGGGAGGGGAGGAATGTTCACCAGAACCGACACTCTCCATCAGAAGCCCAGCTCTCCTTCGGTACGCTTGGTAGGAAACTTGATCCATTACCTTTCTGAAGATTCATCAGCAGATATGGAATTCCGTTAACGCTACCTGTCCAGCGTCTCCTGATGGTGGCTGTAGCTCGTCAGAAGTAGTGGCTAGTGAAAGTTATAATCCCATGGAACTCGGAAGAGCTTTTTTGTCATGTCAAGATCATCCCGTCTCCGACAGAACTCGAACAGAACCAGCAGAAAACTCTCCAGCACTCTCGAACTCTCCAAAAACTCTAGAAGTCTGACAACTCTCCAACTCTGTGTAGACCAGGAAGTACTGACATTTTAAAGACTCTTTCCCGGTTCACTTTTTGGGATTTGTTCATTGGTCAGAAACGACCAGACGGGGTGGGTTTTGTGACGTAAGAGGTTAGAGACAGCGAGAATTGTTATGAGACAGATCAGAAATGTTCTCACAGACCGAGAGGGTTTTGTTTTGGCGTGTTTCAGGAAACAGGTGCAAAACATCTCTACTTACGTCTGAGAGGATTCTAAAACATGACAGTTTTAACATAACAACTTGTTTTTCGTTTGACTGTAACCTTGTAAACGCACACACTTGCTCATTCAAAAGCAGAAATCAGAAAAATGCATAATTACTCTGTAACAGCTTTTAACATGAGTTCTAACTGCATGAGAATAAAAATCATTACTCAGTTAATAAAATTGATTAGTTCACTGCAACATCTAAAATGGTTTGAACTAAGACACTTTGATTATCAACATTTGTAGAATAGTAATGATAATAAAAAGAGAGTGTTCTTTTCACTTGAATCTTCAAGAAAGAAAGTCTCAGGATGGGTGAACCTGTATTTATGTATTCAAATACATGAAATGACAGTTCCTGTCCCACAAGGTTCTAAAGGTCAAGAGTTTTGACCTTAGACTTAGTTTCGACGTAGGCCTAGTCCACTACATAACAAAATAAAAACAGCAACATTATAAATTGATGTAAAACACTAAAAACGGGAACATGTTTGCATTGGTTTAAGGTATTGCATTATTGTCATTATCATTATTGTCATTATATGTCATTATTGTCATTATATGTCATTGTCATTATATTATGTCATTATTATATTATTTGTCCTGATGCATGCTCAATAATCCAGGTAGAAAAATCCAAAAAAGTTCAATCTGGTCCTCTGGACATTCAAAAAAACAAAAAACAAAACAAAGCAAAAAAATATAGAAACGTTTCATCTCTCATCCAAGAGACTTCCTCAGTCTGAGGAGCTGTTTTCAGCTCAGTCTCTTAAATAGCACCTTCTTAGAGTGGATCAACCAGTTTGCTACTGACAACCAAAACCAGCTGATCACATGCTCAAGAAGGACCATCAGCCTAACAATGGATCATTAGCACACTGATGGCTGTTTACTATTCACAGAGGGCTGAGTGATACTAGCAATCACAGCATTGTAAGAGGGGGACAATTGAACCCGGAGGCCTCCACCCCTGTTTAACGATGGACGGTTTCTTTTCACAAAGATGGCCTCCTTTACTCCTCTCTCAAACCACCGTTCCTCTCTGTCCAGGATGTGAACATCTTCATCCCTGAAAGAGTGACCGCTGGCCTGGAGATGAGTGTAGACCGCAGAGTCCTGGCCTGATGATGTTGATCTTCTGTGCTGGGCCATCCTTTTGGCCAGTGGCTGTTTAGTTTCCCCGATGTAAGACTGATCACAGCCCTCCTGACACTGAACAGCATACACAACATTACTCTGTTTGTGCCGGGGGACTGGATCTTTGGGATGAACCAGTCTTTGCCGTAATGTATTTTGGGGTTTAAAAGCCACTGGGACGTTATGTTTAGAAAATAAATGTCTCAGTTTCTCTGATACTCCCTCAACATATGGAATGACCACTGGTCTGGGTCTGGGTTCCTCCTTTTCACCTGTTGGCTGACTGGAGTCCTGTTTGGGTTTCTTCTCTGCTTTCAGGAAGGCCCAGTTAGGATATCCACATTGCTCTAGAGCCTGTCTTGTGTAGGTTTTCTCCTTCTGCCTGGCTCCTGAGCTAGTGGGGATGCTGTCTGCTCTGCGATATAGAGTCCTGATGACTCCTAACTTGTGCTCCAAAGGGTGATGGGAGTCAAACTGCAAATACTGGTCTGTGTGGGTGGGTTTGCGGTACACCTCGGTTTGCAAATGTCCTCTATCAGAGACTGAGACCTCACAGTCCAAGAAAGCCAACTTGCCATTTTTTTCATCTTCTCGTGTGAACTTGATGTATTTATCCACAGAGTTGATGTGGTCAGTAAAATGTTGGACTTCCTGAGATTTAATTTTAACCCAGGTGTCGTCAACATACCTGAACCAATGACTTGGTGGTGTCCCTGAAAAGGACGTCAAGGCTCTCTTTTCTACATCCTCCATGTACAGGTTGGCAACAATAGGAGAAACTGGAGACCCCATAGCACACCCATGTTTCTGCCTATAATATTGCTCCCCATATGTGAAGTAGGTTGACTGCAGGCACAGTTTCAAGAGTTGACACAGTTGTTCTGTGGAAAGCGTGGTCCTGCTGCTCAGAGCGGTGTCTGATTTTAATCTTAAACTGACCACCTCTACTGCATCATCAACAGGAATGCCCGTAAAGAGTGATGTGACATCAAAAGAGACCATTGTTTCATCAGTCTCCATGATGACATCCCTCACCTTATCCACAAAGTCCATGGTGTTCTGTATGTGGTGTTCTGAGCTGCCAACTAAAGAGATGAGTACAGACGCCAGATATTTGGAAACATTGTAAGTGACAAAGTATCAAAGTTTCATCCTGCCTCAGCAATGCCAAACCACCACCTTCCAACATCAGTAGAGAGGAGAGGGATGCACTCACCACTCTTAGCAAGGACAAAAACATCATCATTCTCCCAGCAGACAAAGGAATGTGCACAGTGATTTTGAACCAGAAAGACTATCATGAGAAAGTTATGACACTCCTTAGTGACTTAACCACTTATGAACCTCTGAAAAGAGATCCAGGAAGTGGTTACTGATCAGTAAATCAATGCATTTGATCAGCAGAGCCTGACTGCACCTTACTTTCTTATCTTCTATAAAAGCTAAAAGGTCGCATCTGTTTGTTTTCCTCAAACCACTCTTTTGCATTTTGGTTCAGTTTTAGTTAAAAATATTCTGTTAAAATGTATGTTTTTGTTAATGGGATTTCATATTTCTCTCATTTTAAAAAAGATATGGAAAAAAATATAGATTTGTATTGTGAACTTAAAGCCCTCGTATGTAAATGTTCCTACTTGAAGTGCAGCTCCTTGAAGGTGAAGTGAGTCTCAACAATGCCAGTGGTCTTAACCCGAGTTCGAAGCACGTCCTGCTGCGTGGGGATGTAATCCGCTTTCGCTATCCTCTCCAGGTCATTCAAGTAACTAGAGGAGGGGGGGAAAGGACAGTGATCAAGACTTCATCATGCTTTGTAACCTGCAAAACAAAAAGAAACAAATAAACAAGGATTCTTACAGAGCAACACACATTTCACCAAGGCATTTGTTTGTTTCACTGCTCGGACCTGCTGTGAACATTTCAGAATAAGTTTAAGTGCTTCTAAACGACTGGAGACACTTTACCAAAATACATTTACCAGGTGTAGTCTTGCAGAGCTGTGGCTCCAGCATGCTTCAGCTCTGCAATTACATACAGTACATTACAATAGATCCCACCACCACCACTCCCTTGTTGTCCAAAGAGTATTTTCCTCCCAGATCCTACAAAACTGTAAGAAGGCACTTGTGCATGTGAATAGGGTAAACCGTTGCTGCTTAACTTGTGTTTGACATCAAATCATCAAATGTTATTTTTTGTCATGCAACAATGCACAAGGTTTGCTTATTAATTAACAACGTTGGCACGCTCCCACTTCGCTCAGGTTTAAGAGTCTATCCGACGATGCTTACGGGTGCATTGTAAGTGGATTCTTTTGTTTTCTGTGTGAGGCTCAGTGAGCGCAGAGTTGATTCTGAACCTTTATTTTCCAGTTGAGGGTTTTTGTGCTCTGAAGTGTCACTTCAGGTTTGCAACTCTTGCACAGGAAGATACTGTACACCAGATGAAGCTCTAACTTGTTTCCACTCGCTGCATGCACTTTGCTTCTTAACCAACGTCATGTATTTAATGACATCTGCAGCCTTTGAACTTTCTGATGAAAAAAAATCTGTCAGTTCAGTCACATTCGATCAATTATTTGATTAATTCTGATCAACTTCCTTCAAGGTTTGCTGGTATTGTAATGCATTTAAAAAAATGAATAAATTAAAGGACAATCCTGTTTTGAAAAAGTCATTAACTAAATGGCGTATTTTCAAGTTTCAATGGTTTAATTGTCTCCTCGTGTTCCTGTTTCTTCATCTCATCAGTATAAAATGTTGTAATGGCAAAACTCTGCCTAATCTAGCAACTAACTGATCAATCAATCGACTTCTAATCAATTGGTTGTTCATTTAAAACTCATCATTCCATTCCAACATTTTTTTAGTCAGGTCATCTGGACAGTTTCTTTTTTTGTGCTGAAACGTTTCGCCTTCGATCCGGAAGGCTTCATCAATCAAGGAAACAGTTTTGTTGTGTGTTTCCTTGACTGATGAAACCTTCCGAATCGAAGGCGAAACATTTCAGCACAAAAAAAAATTACTGTCCAGATGACCTGACTAAAAAAATGTTGGATTGTATACCTGGATTATTGAGCATGGACTTTGTTGTCATCATTCCATTATTTACCTATTTTGTATTTTTCTCTGAATACATTTTCATTTATTTAAAATAAATAGTGCACATTCATCCATACTCTGTGGTGTACAGCAATATAAATGTGTCAGAATTAGCTTCATTGCTAAATGGTTTCTCACAAACTGTTGGTCGGCAGGGGGTGTGGAAGCATCTTCACTTTGATTCATTTTGGCTGCCCGACTAACACATCGCATCATCTTCCAACGTTTTCTGTTTACTTTAGTTGCCCAGCCATCATACACTTCACAAAAACGCAGTACAGTAATCCCTTGCCTCTTCGCAGTTCATTTTTTGCAGACTCGCTCCATCTCAGTTTTACAAAATAAGATTGGCCTTGACACCCAGTTGGCTGATTGATGGATGAGCCGCACAATCGGCATGGAATTTTTATTTAAAATAAATTATTTTAAATTATTTATTACCTGCTGCACATTTGTGCAGCCCACACTGCAGGATAAGCTTCCTCCTGCAGCTGATCAGCTAATCTCCATGCAGAGCGGAGAAGTGGGCGTGGCCAAGAGCGCTTGCAGGTGGCTGAGAGCAGCGGAGGCAGGGAGCTGAGATCATGACATTCTGTGATCTTTTAGAGTGTTTGAGTTTAGAAACATTGTTTGCAAGAGTGTGTGAAGAGTTTAAAATGCATATATATATATATATATATATATATATATATATATATA